TAGTGTGGTGATTCAAAACACCTACTATCTTTGCTCGTGTTAGTGTGGTGAAGTTATGACTTAGATATAAGAGACGGTATCTAATGAGCAGTCATAGTCTTGGATTAGTGACAGTACCCGGTGGATAGAGTGGAGCTGCACTGTACGAAGTGGATCGGGTCTATATGAAGTGGATGAGGGGTCGAGACTACCACGGTAAAACTCCGGATGACAAGGATAGCGTGGAATGATACTGCGGATTAGCGATCCAAGGGTGGGGTTTCTGTATCCATATTTTTTAGGTGCTACCTGGAATAGGGAACTACGGACGATTGATTTCGAGGACAACAGTGAGTATGATTATGGAGGATGACAGGAGAAGCATGATTGGTTGCTGTCTGACGGTATTCCACCAAGTGAAGGCTCAAATCCACACTCGCCCGAGTATGCCTACGAGAGACGATTGGGATCCACAATGTGTGGGTGGATCGAGTGGGATACAAATGAAAGAAGTGCTTTAGGCATTAACTGAAGGTGGTTCAGGCAGGGATAACTGACGGAAAGACAAGGCCCACCATTATGTGCCCCAGATCCCACTGTCCTGTGTCCGGATCCAACGGGTCGAGGATCGGATACGGAGCGACTGGGATTGAAACTGTAAGGGTGGTGGATCTTATGGACCTCAAACTTCTGTGGGGAGGTGGGGACTGTCGAAGCTCTTACATGGAGTTGGATGACTGGAGGTTACAGGTCCACTAAGCTGGGGCGGCAACGTACACCGGCAGCAATGTGGACTAAAGTCACTTGGATAAAGTATAGTGTATCCATAATCTGGCAACATTACGACCATTACGCCACGTTCCAAGGGTGTGATACTGATACAGCTGGGGTGATAGATCAAGGAGGAAAAAAACAAGCCGTCGAGCCTGGTAATGGATTTAGTAGGGAAAAGTCATGAAAGGTAGAATTCTAGGCAGGTATAAGCTTAACTATGAATCAGAGTCGAATTCGCTGTGGGAGGATGGAACCTCCAGTGTCCGCGAATTTGCCCCAGACGCAGCAGGACGCATTTAACTAGCTCATGTTCCTACTTGGCCCGGAGGATGTGCATCACTCATTAGCTGCGTGGTCAATGACGGTCGTGAATTTGCGCCCATAAAAAACGTAAAAAAAAGTTTATTGGCCGACAATACGGCTGAGCACCCCAACTCGGCGGTCCCGTATTTTGCTTCAATTTAGCTGGTTGCTTTGCTGGTATAAGGTATAGACCGCCAGTCGTGACCGATAAGCCGTGTCTGTAAAGGCAGATTGAACAAAAAGGCGAGTACTGTGGTTCGTTTGCTCCAGCTTCGTTTCAGATGTGGGGGAGAGAGTAGACAATATATGGTTGTTTTCGGAAGAATTAGTGCTCATTTCGAGCTATATCGAGCGTGCGTGAGCGGAGTTAAGTAAGGAGACGGTAAAAGCTGTCTCCAAAACACCGGACTCGCCATAGAAGAAGTCGACGTGGTAGCAAGTGAGATGATTGCTGAACTAGCTAGACTATTGTCTTGGCCTTTGAAGAAGATACAACTCAGAAATCATTTTTAACATGGCATCAAAACTGCTAATATTATCATCAGTTTTGACCTTGGAGAACCTGGTGTCCTCCAGATTCTATTTGAAGGAGTACTTGTTTATTTAAAGAGCGTTCAGGGCGGCTAACGGAGTGGCATTACGAGAAAGAATGGGTCGAGGCAAGCCGCTGACCCCTCAAGAAAAGTGCATGATTGTGCAGGCTCATGCATATTTCATTGCTGAGGAAAAAGCAGGACGTTCTGGGGGCGTGGAGACCCGAAATCGTGTAGCCATGTGTCTTGGCATCTCAAACGCCACTGTTGCACGCGTCATGGCGTTTTGGAACAAGAATCCCGGCACCAAGATCGTCGATGTTTGTTGGATTTTCGTGCTTTCATATTATTGTGATTATTAACGGTTTAATAACACTTACCTAAATAATTTTATATTTTGTTAAAGCCGCAAAATACTAAGCGTGAGGCCGTCAACAAGTACTCATCACCAGAGTTGAAGGGGATAATCCGGGAATTTGGAATAGCCGAAAACGAAGCGACTCGCCCAATTACCGCTCAACTGATTTCAAATCACGTGGCAAAAGTCATGGGCAGAAAAAATAAGATTCCAGCTCGCAGTATGCGCCAATTGCTCAAACGAATGGTTTTTTTTCTCATGTCCGGGGCAAAACTCGCAATTTTCTAGCAGATAAGGAGAATAATGTAGCTTTTTGCGCTACCTATTTACAAAAAAAACTTTCAAACCGAGACTTAAACAAGAATCCAGTACGGCCGGAGGTGTTTCTGGACGAGTCTTACGTCAATGCCAACCACGTTGCCAACAAAACGTGGCTGACAGATGACAAAGTAAGAAACTCCAAAAGCAGGCGTGGAGCTAGGTAATGTTTGATTTGCTTTTTTTTTTTTTTTAACATTCGTATTTTAATACTAATTTTTAGAATTGTAATTGTAGCTGCAGGTATAATTACTTGCGACGAATATGCTCGTACAGGAACAACAGCACGTTCTCAAAGTGGCATTCACCGACAGTTTATCGGGAATCCATTAAACATTGGGATTCTTCATCAAAAAAGCGGAAAGGGGCAGATCCAATCGACTACCACGGCAATTTCGACTCGCAGATTTTTGAGTCTTGGTTTTTGAAACTTTGCATCACGCTTAAGGATAAATTCGGTCCGTATGGATCACAAGTGGATAACCAACCCCTCTCCAACCAAAAAGTGGAAAAAGGCTGCCATTCAGGCGTGGTTGAAAGAACGCAGTAAGTTTATTGTTATTTTCTAAGTTTATTGTTATTTTTTTAACACTAAATAATATATTAGTGTTCACATACACATATGTACATTTAGAAATCGACTTCATTGAGTAAATACAAGCCCCAAAGCAGATGTAAAACCGAAAATCGCACCCTATAGTGACTTGGTGAGCTTAAAAAGTTAGTAAGAATTGGTGTAGCGCTCCTGATAGAGTTGTATCTTCTTCAATGGCCAGGACAATAGCCTTGTAGATGGTAGAATTGGTGCTGTTGGCGACGAGCACGACACAATTGAATGCAGTCCGCTCTGCGATGAGCTGCTCAATTAATTCACGTTCGTTTTATGATTTACGATGCGCGACAGACATTACTGTTTATACACAATTTTCCTTTCAAAAGGTAGCCAAACATGACTGTCAGTAAGAAGCGGAGGAAGCCGGTAATTGAATTGCGCAATCTGCTTGGCTTTTGTATTACTTGAAGCTTTCTTACTACAGTGGTCACAGTAATTAATCTAAGTTGATAAATAATCTCATACACTATATATTCTCACTCAGGTTTGTTAAGAATAATTCACGTGAACAAACTTTTTCAGAGTTCATTATTAATCTCAGTTGTGGTTGATATCTTGTACTCACTATTGGGCTCGCTTATGGTGCAGTGCTGATCGCCCTAGCCAATCGCTGCATTGTGAGCTCAAGTCCCGCAGCAGCAGTGCATCGGGTCCCTTTTAGAGCTAGGTCTGTGGTGATGTATGTTCTGTGGAGTGTTCTGTCCCAATAACTGGCATCCGTTCGTTGTAAACACTGATGTTCGTACTTAAGAAAAGTTCCACAGAATCTATTTTATAATAACAGCAAAAGTACAAATTGGCTGTGGCTCTATATTATGATTGCATGTACTTGTCTAAGCCTTCTTCATTTCACGATGTTTTTTTTTAAATAATTCTCTCTGCCACTGAGCTGTAGATGTGAGATTAATTTCAGGGCTACATAAAATAATAGCAATGAGATTTATTTTACCAAACACTATTTAATGGGAGTTCATTAATACTCTCACGGAGATCAATTGCTGTGTGAGATAAAACAATTACTCCACACAAAATAATTTCAATGAGATTCATTACCGTGGCCACTGTAGTAGTTTTCGCGAAACAAAACTTCTGTTTTTTTATATGGGCCTGGCCCATATCAAATGACTCTGCATTTGAAGTTTTGGACATGTTGCCGAAAATGAAGGAAAAAAAATTGACCTTCACGGCGTAAACATATTTTCTTTCATTATTGCCAATGGGAACTCAGCACAAATATCGAATTATGCGATGAAAATATTGCAGTATATTATTGCAACGATCCTGCAAATTGCCGAGGTTGCTTCAACATACCTACCGCGCTGCAGAGTCCCCTCGTACGAGCAACGAGTGTATTCGCCTAGAGCGCCTAATTAGCCTTATAACAATGATAACACGACGGATTTTAACAGGGCTGACCTTAATCATTCAGGCTGCAGTGCAGATCTTGGTTTAAACCCAATCAGCAGCCGAAGGGTACACTGAAAACGTCCCTCAGCTTCGTAAGTCGCTACATGTTTTTGCTGGAGCGGTTTGCGCCCACACTATCCCTTGTTATCGAACTGCTTCAGATATGCAATATTGTATTTCTGGTTCAAAAGTGATGTTTTGCAATATTGCAGTACTTAGCTGCAGCTTTGATCACTATTTCAATAAACTGCTGTAGGAGGATGACCTATTGCAGTGTACAGTACTGTACTAAGTAAACCAGTGGTACCAGAATATTTTTTCCTATCACTTCTGCATGGACTGACCGTTTTTGTTTTTTGTTCTTCCAACGTGTTCGGACAATCCATAGTTCAATATACTACGTAGTAGTCACCTTTTCGCGGTCATGTTGGTGTCAATTTGCGAGCCGCTCTCCGGTAAAGTTTTTTGGTTAATTAAGGAGAATAATTTCGCAGGGTTTACCAGAACACTTTCAAAGATTCTACTAGCCGAACATTAATATCAAAGTTTATAAAGCACCTTCAACAAAAATCTCTGACAGTAGCTTTTTTATGCTTGATAAAGTCGAAGACGATCTAGTGCTAGTGTTAAAACAGTTTGCAGTGGAGAGTCCGTAAAAGGCACGTCATTTCACAGAATCCTTGCCTATAACTGAAAGTTTTGAAGTCTCCCAGGCTTAGAGTTCGTTTTTAAATTTGATAATCCCAAGAAAAGCTTTCAATATACACGTTAGACTGCTGGTTCGTTGCATCTCGAGCCAGTGACCACGCTAAGCCTAATCTAGCTTGGCTCGGTCGTGAGCTGAGTCGTAGTCCACAAATGGACCTTCCACAACAACGTGCGGGGCCTTATTCACCATGCCGATCTTGATGTGGCTCCATTTGACGGTAGTCTTCAATCCAGGTATCTGGTACAATTCACGCAGGTAGTTCTCGATATTGTGGTAGTCCGTCAGGTGTTTGTCTGTCTTCGGCTGGTACGTGTCCAGTCGGATGAGCGTGTGGAACAGACGAACATCGGCCTCCGTCACACCTTTTCCCACCAAGAATCTCTTCTTGGCTAGTAGCTCGTTCAGCTTGGCCAGGGCCTCATAGGCCTTGGTCTCCGCTTCAGCAGCAGCCTCGGGCGTCGGAGCAAACATTTTCTTGAAGAAATTGAAACTGACTTCAGCAACAATCCCGTCATTCGCAGCGTCAATTTCCGCTCGCAACTCCTCAGGGTACAAGTGTACGTTGGATGGCACCAGATCACGGAACCCCGAGTCCAACGTACGGAGGATGCCCGAAGACTCCTCCGACACGATCGTGCCCTTCTTCTTGTCCCACAGGACGGGCACTGAGAACGTACGCGGCGCCGGGTCCACCTTCTCGTAAAGATCACGCACAAACGCCACGTAGTTCACCGTGTCCGGCACGCAGCCATCCGTCGGGTAAGTCTCGCCGTTGACGCCGACCATTGTGGGGGACTTTGCGGGGTCCACAAAGACCCAACCCTTGTGCTCGTCATTCAGGTCGTCTGGCTTGGTCTTCTGGAAAACGGAGTGCGCCACTGATAGACCAATTACGTCTTCGAGACCGAGCAAGTTGCGCGCCGCTAGTGCTCGACAGGCAAATGGACACGAATACGTAACATAGAGGTGGTAGCGACCCTTTTCAGCAGGAAATTGGGCGTCGGCATTGGGCTCGATCTTGAAATCGTACGGGGCAGGCTTAGTGGCGGCCATGGTGGAAAACGAGAAAATTAAACTGCTTTGTTCTCTCGGAAGCGAATCGAAGAATGAGTTTATTAAATAGTTTGCTGTACAAACGGTTCCCAGTTTAGGTTACGCTTACGTTTAAAAATGATTGGTCAACAATATACGCAATCGCATGTTGAAGCTTTGAAGCAAGAATATACAGTCGTGCACCTCGTATTCGGCGGGATGGACCATATAGAGTCTACGAGCTGCGAATATTTATAGAGGAGCAGATGGAATCCAAATGTACTACTTTGTATTACCCTAATTAAGTACAACTCTCAAATCCATCTTCGACACAATACCAGTGTGATTCCAACAGTTTCGTATGGTCATTGTCGATACGTCTTGCCAACCTTCTGAGCACCACTTCATCGCTGTATAAATATTGACGGGGGTATACGTCTCGCCTTTGTAAAAAAGAGACAGTGTCCATGATGGCTCTGTGGCTGCCTTCCTGCACAATGTTTGCTTATTGGCGAGATTCAACGTAGAATAGGCGGACGGGCGACGTGCCATGGCCTTTTGCGACAAAATTTATAATGAGCTGTTGTATGGTGAAGTGATTGAGCTGATACATCGTGGCGGAAGTGCGGCGTTTCATCCCTCCTTGAGGTTATTTGGTCCAAAGGAGATGGGCAACTCATTTGCGCAATGCATGTGGCCCAATCATTAGATTGTGCAGGTTATTAAGCCATACCGGAGCCGAAAACGAGGTGCACGACTGTAATTTGACGAATCATAGCGTCGGAAAAGGTGGATTCATCGAACGACGGGAATGATCGTCAATTTTTTTTTCTTTTGTCGAGCGCATCTTTCAAGACTTAAAACCGGCACGTATTAATAATAACGAGTGTGAACAATGTCGAAATATGTACCCATATTTTTGAGGAAGACCGGGTGTGACTTGTTGAAGTGGGTGGATGCTTCAGTATATGTACCAGTTTTCTTTTTACAACGATGACGTTAGCTCGCACCATACAAATGAACCAGTTTTTTTAACCCCATCAAATTTCTTAAAAGATAATCGTCAAGTTCCAAATGATATCGTCCTTTTTAAAAGTCTTAAAGGACACAATTATACAGTTTGCGCTCTTTTGGCAACCCCAGTAAAAAGCCAATGACAATGGATTCAAGTTTACAAGCAAAGAAAGACAACAGCTGCTACTATTATGCTGCATCTTCGACGTGCGTTGCATATTCGCCGTGATTTACGGTAATCTGGGCGGTTTAAGTGATTTAGTGCAGCTAAATGGGCATTCATGTCAACCAACACAATTTTAAACAGTCGTGTCAAGCACGCATAAGTTTTTACCTTTAAGCTCTAACTAAGTTCTCCCGCTAGCTCTAGTGACCTTGATCTTACTATCGAATGCAACGCCGCTGCTCTACCGCTGCTCGGAAGCGGGTTGCAAATCTGATGGCGGCGGACAGAGGATGCATAGGAAAGCCGCGTCAGCTATGAGTGCACCCTATCTTACTACATCTATTAATAGTAGTTGCTTGGTAAACCTATGTGTAGTTCACACTGTGTGAACATTCAAATGAGCATCGCAGCACGGTGCATTGTACCCGCTGCACCAGGCCGTTGGTAGATGGTAAGCCCTGTGCAGGTTGATGACAACGCAGTTTTGTTGGAACGTCAGTTCTTGCGCGCTACTGTGCAATGGATATTTTATAGCCTCAAAAATTACAGCCAGCCAGTTCGGGGGCAGGGCAAACTGTTGTTGGCTTTAAAGCTGAATTATCGCTAAGAGTGATAAAAACTTCGAGTCCTAGATATTATCTCTGTGAGTATTACCTACATGTATTATAACGCCGGTATTATCAGAATTCATCGCAAAATTGTTGCATAAACATATCTTTCCACACAATCAGTCTCTTGAATATCGTATACGCACAGCTATCACTGGGGCAATGTTCAAGGCGAGAAAGTGAACAGCCCACTGTCGGTAGGATAGGCAAGGGCGCAAAACAGAAGGCAATGCTTCACTGCATGTAGACGATAACTCAAGTACATGTAGATGATTACTTAACTATGACAGCGTACAATTATACCATTGTAGTTACTGGGAACAAAATAGTTCCCAAACGGAGCGATCCGTCTCTTTTAAATTACAGTCTCTGTATTGATAGCGTCGAGAAGCCGCACTTTATAATTATATAGAGGAAGAGCTATATCCATTATAAGGTACACACGACACCAGATGGCGGTTAGCCGCAAGGTCGCTCGATTTTTGATGACACTTATCAATTTCCTTTCAACACTGCAATACCGTACACCTTCGCCCACTGTAACGGGGTACGCAACCCCTATTATACCCCTGGTTACATGAAGTATGACACGTCACACGTCGGGATATCTGGTACATGGTATGTAACGGGGTACGTAGCCCTAAGTGTACCCTGGTTACATGAAGTGTGACACTTCACACTTCAGGAGTGTGACACGTCATACTCCGGGATATTTGGTACAAGGTACCAAAGTCGTTCAAAGCCAACCATTGGTTAAATGACATTGCATTTCTATAGGTAACTAATAGTTTGTATTAAACCCAAACTTGTGCAGTTCGCGCCTTCCTTGTTTACACACGAGGAAGCGCGAACGCTGGCGGTACTCGTAGTTCACCGGGAGGAACGCGGCTCGGAGCTGTTCGCACAGCTGAGCCCAGGATGTGAAACATCCAGGGGATGTTGCTTCCCGAGTGTACACCCAACTCTTAGCACGGCCGCTAAGGTTGGAGAGTGCAAAAGCAACACGCAGTTGCTCGGTCGAGATCAGAGCCGCGTCCATCGCGAGCTCTACTTCTCGGACCCAGAAGTGAAGGTTCTCGCCTTCCTTCCCTTCATACGGCTTAGCCTTCAGCCGTATTGGCTTCGGGTAAGGCGGATTTGCTTCCGCCGCCGGAACCTGCAGGTTCTCCTGCACATGCGCGATGAGGCCCTGCTCGTACGCGTCAAATGCATTGACGCGCTCGAGCTGCTCAGCCGGTGTTGACACCACCAGGCTCTGCAGGGCCTCCATCCCGAAGATCCCTGCCATCTTCCGAACCGACTCGAACTGAGAGTCGTTCAAATGGGAGAAGTCGTTCGTATCCATGGCAACGAACTTCGGAGAGGTTCAGGTAGTCTACCCGCGGTGGCGTGGATTGACTACTAGTGCTACCAAGTGTGACGGGGTCACACAGCACCTTGCGCTAGAGGAAGTTATCTTCCGAGAGTATACAAACTCTCAGTGAACGGCAGTTCACAGGTCCCTTTTTTAGTTAAAGAGAGCGAAGTGACCTAAATAAGGTAGATTGTAAACTGAGTATATTTATAGGTAGGTTAAGTTTGGGTTTAATACAAACTATTAGTTACCTATAGAAATGCAATGTCATTTAACCAATGGTTGGCTTTGAACGACCTTGGTACCTTGTACCAAATATCCCGGAGTATGACGTGTCATACTCCTGAAGTGTGAAGTGTCACACTTCATGTAACCAGGGTACACTTAGGGCTACGTACCCCGTTACATCCTCCCCCACTTAGGTTCGGTTTACCGACCAATCAGAATGAAGAGGTGTTCGTCACAAACTCTCATTCTCAAAGTCGAAAACCATCGACTTGGCCGCGCGAGCGCGGCGGAGGCTCACTTCACAGTTAGAGCCTCGAGCAGCAACCTGTGCGGTCTTCGTCTAGGTCCCCACTTCGACCGTTATCATGCCTCGTGGCACTGCAAAGAGCGGTGCTAAGACACGCTCCAAGGCTGCTGCCGGTAAGGCGCAAGCTAAGAGCACTAAGCCTCACGGCAAAGGCTCTGCACTCAAAGAGGCTACTCAGGTGGCCTCCGAGGCGATCGGTTCCTCGGGTGACGCGGCTGTGGACAAGCGCGCAAGCAAGCGCCGCAGTCCGTCGCCCTCGGCCTCAGACAATCGTCCGAACCCTCGGTTCGTGGAACGTGAGTTCAACTCTGGCAGTGAGGACGAAGTTGAGTCCGAGAGCACGCACGATGCTCCTGCGGGCTCTGTGGGAGGGCACAGTCCAGTGCCCAGTGAGCACAAAGATGACAGCGTGCAGTCGCTCGCTAGTGATCAAGGCGATCACAGTCACAGGACTTCTGTGCGCTCTGAGAGTCCGGCCGTCAAGGCTAATGGCGCTCCCAAAGCCGGTGGCGATGAGGAAGAAAATCTTCGAGGGTCTTGCGCGTGCTAAGGCCTCTAAAGCCGAAGGCGCCAAGCCCTCAAAGAAGCGTACAGCCTCTAAGTCTCCACTCCGCGAGGAGAAGGAGAAGGAGACTCGTCGCTCCTATCAGAGTATCTTCGACTCCTCGGATGAAGAGGAGGAGAAGGAGGAAGGAGAGGAAGAGGAGGGTGCTATCGTTGAGCCCCGGGAGGTCTTGAATGGCCTCGACCAGCAGGAGGAGTTCCAAGATGCCCAGCGTGTGCGTGGGGGCTCGATGGTGGCACCCGTCAGCCAGGGAGCTGCCATCAACTCAAGAGGGTATTGGCCTCCCGAGGAGCGGGAACTCCATGAAGATCACCTGCTGTCCCACATCCTGGACCAGCGTGATCTTCGTATGAGGTTCGCCCACTTGATCAGCAAGCGTATGCTGCCAAGGGACATCCTGAAGCGCGCGGCTTCTAGCGCTCACGATGAGCGTGGGTACGGTATGTATTCATCGTCCGTACCCCGTTCGGGCAAGAAGCCCCGGACTACTAATGAAGCTTCCGCCGCTTCTGTTCCCAGATTGCGACAGCCTTCGGGCAGTCAATCAGGAGCCGTTCAATCGGCTCCCACGAGTTCTCGGAGTGGGCATAGCCCCTCCACTTCACGAGGAGCTCTCGCTTACCGCGACACCGTTGCTCCTGGAGGATCCGCTCCACGTAGAAGTGGACTTCTCCATTCCGGTCAAGCAGGGGCGGAGGTGCCCTCGTACGAGTACGAGTACTCGGCGCCTCCCGAGAGCCACTCTCGTCTGAGTGCTCCGACTGCGGGTCCGACACAGGACCCTGAGGTTGACCGCCTCCGTCAACGTGTCCTCGTTC